GATCAAGTGCTCATCATCTGGGCATGTCCAAGTTCCACTGAGCGGGAAAAGGTAGATGAGAGCGAAGGCAGGAGCCCTGGCGAAAGGCTGACAAGAGACAATCCATCACATTAGTGGACTGGGCAGGCTAACCAGCCACATGGTGTGGCGAAACCCACTACACGACACATAGTAAATTAATCAACTGTGGGCAGGCTAGCAAGCCACCTGATGTAGCAAAGCCACCTACTGTACGTACTGTGTAGCATACAATGTCATGCACACTTTAAATCAGTCCTGTTCCAATCTTCAAGCTACCGTGCTTTAAATCATACTGTATACTGATTGCCTACATGCACATTGCTTGCAAGTCAGCATGCTTCCACCTGCTGCTGCCTTACACACTGTGTTAAACTTTGCCTTTATACATTTCTGTCACATCTTCAGACCTTGCCTTCTGCCGCACATTCTTGAAGAATACATCCATTCTTGTGGCAAACACGAAGTGACAACATCCAGCAACAAGAACCGCGAGCTGGTCACAAACATACTCCACCAGAGGTCTACATTTCAGGCCTGGAGGTCTACACCGCTCCTCCAAGTCCAGAACAGGATCCAGACTGCTGCATTGCGACTGCCTGCGCACATTCGTTCCATCAGTCTGTGAGATGGCTCCAACTCTGTGCGACAGCCCATGCGCCAGATTTGTGTGCTACAGCTTGCAGTCCAGCACTGGCTCCAAGCCCTCTGACCATCAGTGACCATGCAGTATTACGAGGCCTTTGAGGCGAGGTTCAAATCTCTGACTGAACCACTGCCAATCCACAAAACCTCTCTGCCAAAACCATGTTGACCAGGGCAAAGCTTCCTGAACTCAAGCATAATACATGTAATATGGCTGCACAAGCATACAATGTCATGCAATATGGCTCTGAGACGCAGTAACTGTTGCAGAAGAACAGGTTCCTGGTCAAGAAAAAGGTTCCTGGAGAGGTTGTGACTATCATTCCCCCATGGACACATTTTAGGGGGAGTTACGATACCAATCATGAGGGCTGATAGGCGACCCATCACATTCCAATCATCATGCTGATGCTGATAGGCTACCCATCACATCCATTTCTTGTTGCAAAACAATGTGGTGCCGGCCTGTGCACATGCGGTCTGAATCACAACAACCAGTAACAAAAATAGATACTGGGAATTATCTTGAAGTCCATGGAGATCAAAACCTATCTACGCATTCGGATCTGAATCTGAACCTTAAACCGAAGCAGAAACAGGAGCAGCAGCAGGAGGAGGTGGCAAGTACCATACGTCCAGGAACAGGGAAGAAGGGCCGCTGAAGTCTCTGCTGCTGAGAAGCAAAGCAGGACATGGACATCGGTTGATATTGATGCTGTACACAGGCCAGACATATTTTACTTTCCTCGGAACAAGAATCCCCTATTCTTCTTCTTCTCAGGACGGATCTCAAACAATGCTTTCTTGATGAATTCTCGAAGAGAGAGCACCAAAATATCCCGGCGCCTGCTGTCTGGAAGTTCAAGCTCAATCCGCTTCCCATCATTGAGGTGCACAATACAAATTCTAGCCTGGCCCACAGGAATTTCCACTGTGAGGCTAGGACCATATTGCTCCTTGAGTTCAGTTTTCTTATTGCGCTTCAATGAAAAACTCGCCCTTTTCATTACAAAAGTGAAAGTGTATGGCTGTGTTGTCTCACCATAAGAATGGTAGCTTGCTGATTGAAACGACTCATCATGATCTTGCTGCTTACAATTACACTCAAAGGAGGCAACTCCTTGTGATTGAATCACAGTGAATTCAGTTTGCATTGCAGGGTCTAGCATGATCCAGTTCTTGTTATTTGCAAACGCACTGACAACTTGCCCCTGCCGATCACAGTCGTCCATTGGAAGACAATCGATGGAGATGAGACAGTGTGCATCATCGGCAGTCACAAGGTAATCAGAATCCTGTGCACCATGTATGGATCCCGAACTTCCATCCATATAGTGCCGAACCCACTGAAAGATGCATTTTGAGGTGCCATTGATGGAATTCCCGCATGCTGTCAGCTTCCCACCAAGTGATGCATCACCAACAATGCGCAGTCCTGCAACCGCCGGAAGGAGGTCATCAATCTCGTCCTCGTCCTCTGGATCTTCACTTGTGGTGGCCCGATCATCATCTTCTTTCACAGTAGGAAGGTTATCCCTTCTGCTTGGACCTCCCCTTCTTGCCTTTTCTGCCTTAGCTGAGCTACTGGCCCTTGACCTCTCACCTCCTCTTGATCTCCTCCCTTCCTTTGGCTCCACTTTTGGACCAACACTTGATGATCTTCGTGACTCCCGTCTATCTCTTTCCTTCCACTGGCTTCCTCCAGGACTTCCTTGGTATCTCTCTGAATCATCCACTCTGTCACGTCCATTGCCCTCGGCCCCTCTTCCCCTTCTTGATCCCCTACTGCCCCCCACACTACGACTATCAACTTCTCCCTGTGCACTGTTGCCACCATCAGCAGGCCCAGAACCATTGGAGCGATCATCATCTGCTCCCAAGGGGGCCTGTCTACCCGGTCTCCCGGCAGGACTAGTTGGAGATTGCTGCGGCTGTTGCTGCTGTGGCGGGGGAGAATGTTGTCGCCATGGTGGAGAATGCTGTTGTTGCTGCTGTTGCTGTTGCTGGTGCTGGTGCTGGTGCTGGTGCTGGTGCTGTTGCTGTTGCTGTTGCTGTTGCCGTTGCTGAGATTGCTCCCGCAGAGGCGATGCGGCCCTGGGGGATTGAGGACCAATTTCTGCTCGTTGGTCTTCTTGGCCAGGCTGGGTTGTCCTCAGYGGCCACTCCTTGAATGATACCTCAGTTCCTGTGGATGAGATGCCCGGACTTCGGCTGTTCCAGCTGCCAGTTCTCTGGACATCTTCCAAGCTTCCCGATCTAATGGGCCCTTGTGACGGCTCATTCCGAGCCATGACACCTTGAGAATCAAATGTTGTGCCATTCATGGGAGTCACAACTACTTCCACAAGGGAACTAGTGCCTGCTGCATCTGTTGGCATCCCACCAGCCTKCACCTCTAATCCAGCCGAGGGTTGGTCAGGGATACCTGACGTTGCAGGTGCAAGAACTTGCTGCTGTGCTGGCAGCACATGCTTATGTGATGCAGCTTCTGCCTGTGGGGGAGCATTCAGATGTGAATGAGGGCCCATGCCATGGTTGGCATTTTGGTGTAGCGGAGAARTGGAARTAGGATTGAACCCTGGTAACATCGGCGGARAACTTGGAGGTCGAGAGGTAGTCTCCACAGCAACAGGTGATGCACTGACCTGACTTGCTTGATAGGAAGGTGCATAACCAACCTCCGCTTGACCATCAGCTCGAACCCATGACGCCGATGACGGCGACAGTGGAGCATGATATGCAGCAGGACGTGTGGTACTGTCTCTTGCGCTCCACCAAACATCACTTGGCTGGCCAGACCCTTGCTGCAAGGACTCACTAGTGGTTGCACCACTGTCAGCAGTCTGAGAACGAATGGACAGGAACTGCTGCATGTTATTCTGGCCAATCAATCCCTGCTCATGCCGTTCAATCTGCCGCAGACTTAGCGCCCATGAATCCGGATGTCTGCTACTTGAAATTGACTCTTGCTGGTCTCCTTGCCTCTCTCGAGGATTAAGAATAGTTGGCAGGGATGAGGGACGCATAAGCTCATCTTTATAAAGAGGTGGTCCCCTCAGCCCCGGCACCAAGGCCATCTGCTGCTGTGTCTGACACCCATTCTCAGCTCTGATGCCCCAGTTCCCTTCCCAGGGAGAATTTGCAGATGGACTATCCATGGCAGATTTTCCCTTGTTCATAGAGCCAGCAGGGGCATTCAGTCCTCCCCCAGCTGTTCCTCCCAGCATTTCCCGGCTACTAATCAACCCGTCGCCCAGATGGGTTTGCACCAAGTTTCCCCCCAGCTTCCTCTGCTCCTCAAGTATAGACAATTCAGAGAGGAGGCGTTGCATGACCATCTTCATGGAATGCAGAATTGCAGCTGCATCTGACGAGGGAGGATGAAGCCCAAATTCTGCAAGAAGAGGCATCAGCCCTGACACAAAGATGGCACGATCTCGCTCTGCAATCTCAAGGGCCCTGCTCAACTTCATGTTCTCGTCAACCAGATCAGCTCTATACTGCAGAGCTTTGGCTGCTGCATCGGCCATGCAGCGCTGTTGCTGATCATACACCATTCGCAGCTCTGCTGCACGGGCTGCTAGAGACCTCTTCTCACTTTGGAGCTGAGCTTCCTTCACATGTGCAGCGGCAAGCAATCTATCTCTGTGTCTCAGCTGCTCTTCTAACCAGGTGACTCTACCTGTCCACACAAGCGCATCCTGGTTAGCGTCGTTTTGATGCTGATGAGAATGTGTATGATTTTGAGATTGTTGACGCAGTGGAGATCTGGGATGATCATCAAAGCGGCTATAGTTTCGGTGTGAAGATGTTGGCCGTTGAATTTGACTCTGCTGATAACTGCCTGACGTGGGATTGCGCCCATTTCTGTAATGACCACTGTCATCGCTGTTATTTCGTGGTGACTGACCATCTTCACCTTCCCTGTATTGCTGGTGACAAACAGAGCCACTTCCTAGCAAATCTATGCCATCCATGGCCGACAACGGTGTCGAAGGTGGAGATGGTTCCATCGAGCTCTCAGGTGCATACACATCAGTTCCTGTAGCAAGCTTCTGCAGCCCTAACTCGGCCTGCAACTGGTTTCTTGATCCTGAAGCAGCTCCACCAAATTCCTCCACCAGGCTGTCCAGGGGTGTTCCTCGGTGGACTACCAAGGAAGGACGCCTCTCAAGCCCTGAGAAAGAAGCAGCCACCTCAGAAAATCTTTGGTCGATCTCGCTGTCATCCAGACCAGCAATGGATCCGTCCCGTTGCTCACGTGCCATGCCACCAGACCCAAAACTCTTGGGTGAAAGAGAGAGCCCACCCTCCTTCTCTTCTGCTTGCTTAAGCTGCCATTCTGTGACCCTGAGACGAGACTTCAGGCGCTTATTCTCACTTTCCTTCCGGCTCATCTCCAGAGCAACCTCCTCGACGACCTTGCTCCACGCCGCCAGTTGTGTTCCAGCTATAGCTCCTGACTCCTGAACGGCGGGGGACTCCAATAAGCGACTCCCATTAGCGGAAAACGTGACGGACGGGACACCCACAGAGCTGTCTATCGCGATCGCAGTTGGCCGCAGTGGAGACGCAGGGAATCCAGCCAACCCAGATGATGAAGATTCGGGAGTATSYGACGGTCCTCCGAGCAACGCCCCACTCGTTGGGTGATAAGAGAGCGACATCCCTCCCCACCCTTCGTCGGAAACCTCCGTCCCCCCTTAACCCGTCGCCCCTTAACCTTGCCTGCGGGCCTCCCCACCCGGCTCTCTCTCTCTCTCTCTCTCTCCGCCCTACATATCTACCTACCTATCTTTCTCTTGCCCGCTGACCTCGATCGTGCAGACGCTCCCCCCATATCCCCGTAAACCCGGCCCGGCGTGGATCTTGTCGCGACCAAGGCCGCGTTCACCGACTTCGGCACGACTTCGAGCAAGCGCGCACAGCGTACCTTAGGGCACACCTCCCACTCGTCGGGATCTCACTCCTTCTCTGCCCCCCATTCCCAACCACAATACAATTACAATCTCCGCCTGCGCTGTCTCCCCCCTCCCCGGCTTCTTCTCCCCACCTTCACCTCCTCCCTCCGTCCCGTCCCGTTAATTGCAAATGGACCGCGCGCGTCTTTCGACCCCCACCTCCCCACCCTTGTCCCCGCCTAATAGCTCTATTCTCAATCCACGCACGCTACCTGGTTGCCAGCTCCGCAAAGAACTCCCAACCTCGTGACCAGCTGGCGATCGATAGAGAGCGCTTTTTCGTCGATCGAAAGGTAAAGAATTCAACGATTTGAACTTCCCCGCTAGATCAGAGGAAATGGAGGCGGGGGAGAAATGGAGCGACCAGCACATTAACTCTTTTCTCCTTCCACGCCTGCGACAGCGCCGTTTTTTTATTCATCACTGATGATGGGACTGCAACAATAATCGCTCGATCAATCGGCCGGTAATCATGTTCGGTTGCGCACAAACGATCTGAATGACAGGGAAGGCAGGCAAGTGTCTTTCCTTCAAAGATACTCCCCTCCACCGGCGTGCACGCAACACACACATTCGCTTACAAACCCGCCCCCCTGTCCCCACCGCCCACATCCCTTTCCTCTGATAAAACAACCCCCTGCTTCTCAAAACCCTCCCCCCCGCCCCTCCCCCCGGGCACACCAAATTCAGACGTTGTGATATACAACCCCTTACTTGCAGACAAAGTTGGCAAGGTCGGGTAAACTTCTTTTCGCCCGCTGTCAAGCGACAGGACGATATCGTCAAGAAAAGCAGGCTGAAAAGGAATAGATACCCTTTTAGTCCCTCCAATGAGTCAAAACACGACCAACACAAAGTGAACAAACACCCATTCCCTGACCCACAGGAACTCCACGATCTGGCACCACAGCCTCCCGCCTCCTCCATTGCATTCGTCATGAAATGACCCACCAACCCCCCTCTTCCTCATCGACAATCACCTAACACCACATTCTCTCTCTCTCTCTCTCTCTCTCTCTCTCTCTCTCTCTCTCTCTCTCTCTCT